GGAGCCAGCTAGTGGAAGGTCGCCAGGGAGGGTCAGCGAGGGGTGTGCAGATCCCAGGGACTTATATCTTCTGAGTTGACCGTTAGAGTAGGTGGAACACGTTCCATCTGGATTCCGTGCGGGCCAGGAAGAAGGGGCTGGTCAGGGACCTCCCATCAGGAAGAAGCCGCCCAAGCTTAGTCCAGCTGAGGGGAGGATTACTTTGGCTAGTCGTTCTCCAGGACACAAAGGACTTGGGGGGATTTCCAGGATCACAGGGCTCAGGTGCAATTCAACATCGTCAGTGGTCAGGCCCCAGGATCACAGAGTGGGGTGGAGAAAGATGGAGGGGCCAACAGTGACCACGTGGCACACTTCCTGCCTCAGCAAGCGTTCTGCCTGGGGGAGGGGCCAGCCACGACAGCGGGTCTCCATTTCAATGACCCGCTCAGGAACTAGGAAATAATCACGGGATGAGTTCAGGGTCCCATTGGACCAATTGTGAGATGGACTCATGACCTGCAAGGTGGCCACAGTGCCCCACCAGCTCCCCCTCTGGCTGGTGGGCCCCAGGGGTGAAGGCTGGCCCTCCCCTATCTCAAAGCATCCACCGAAGCGCCTCGGGGGGCCTCACACAGCACAGCCTCGCCCTTCAGAACTGACTTTGCTCACCCCCTTTCAGGACTTTGAGGCCCCCCTCCTGCTGGGTCCTCTCCTTGCCATCCAGAGTCCCTGGGCCTTCCTGCAGCCCAGCATGGCCACCCTGATGCCAGCTGTTCTACCACCGACCCCCCCATGGCTTCTCAGCTTCCGGCCTCAGGTCTCCAAGCTCAGGGGTCTGCTCCGAGCCTTAGCTCCTCAGAGAACTTCCTGGCTCCACAAACCTCTTGCAGGCCCTCCACCAGCTGCTCTGCCCCCCGCCGCTCTTCCTTGAGAAATACCTTCTCCTCAGGGGAGGTTTTTGTCCTGATGACACAATTGTCCATAGCAGCTGGCTTTCTTTCTTTTTTTTAATAATAGCTTTATTAAGATAGAACTCACACAGGATAAAACTCACCCACTTAAAGGGTACAATTCAACTTTTTCTACTATATTCACAGAGTTGTGCAACCATTATCACTGTCTAATTCCAGAACATTTCTGTCACCTCACAAAGAAACCCCAAACCCATTAGCAGCCACTCTCCGTCCCTGACCTTCCCCCGGCCCTGGCAACCACCCATCTGCTCTCTGTTTCTGTAGCTTCACAGCAGCTGTTCTGGCACATCTATTGCTGGCGTGGTTTTTCTGACCCTCGTACCCAGCTCTTGGCACTTCTTCTTAAATATGCTCAGAGCCTGCTCCGTTATTCTCTCTAATGAGTCGGTTTTTACTTGAATCTCTGAAAAACAAAATAGTCCCCGGCAGTAGATTAACCAAGAACTTATCATCCCACCAGTGCCCCTGCTTGCAAGGAACCTTCTACCTTCTTTAATAAAACCAAAGCCTGGTCCTCCAGGTAAACAGCTGTGTTTCCAGAGAGCCAATATGGCTCTTGAAGGGCTTGCAGCGGGAAGGGCCGTGATCAGAGGACATTCACAAACTTTGCTCTGTCTGCAGTGTGGGACATGGATTCCCAGCACTCAGCCCTGCTCCTGGCCCACGCAGTCACTCAGGCAATGAAGGTGGGCAAATGCAGGTCTGCGGTGCGGGCACAAGGCCAGGCCTGGGGTTTAGGGGTCGCCGCAGCCACCAAGTGCACAAGGAGAGGTGCATGCGGTCCAGCAGGCAGAGGCCAGGAAGGGGAGGCCAGCAGAGAAGCCAGGAGAGGGGTTCCGGAATCCAAGAGAGGTAAGCATTTGGGGCAGGAGAGTGTTGTAGACACCCTGCGGAAACAGGATGGACCCCCACTGAAAACCTCCTTTGGCTGTCAAGACTGATGATGCCCGACACACACCAAGACGCTATGAAGAGGTTTATTACTTATATAACGAGGCTTTCGGGGCAGAGCCGGGCAGGCCTCCCAAGCTGGTCTGAGAGGGTAAGGAAAGGAGACCGGCTCGGCCTTTATCATGGTTACAGGGTGGGCTGGAGTGAGGGTTCCTGTGTGTAGTTTGAACTTCCCGCTTGGGCCAAAGCAGGGAGCGCCTTATCAGCCTGCCCAGATGTGGGCAGAGTGGGACGAGGGAGGGTGAGGCGTAGTAGCTGTCAGCAGTCAGACATCCAATCACGGAGGCCAACTCTTTATTGCAGAGTGGTCAAGTGTGATGAGTACTGTTGGGAGGGGACAGCTAGGGGGCAGTGATGACCTTGAGAGTGGGAGGAACCCTCTGACACAGCAGCGGGCGGGAGCTGGATGCGGGAGCTGAGGGCAGAGTGGCGGGGAAGCCGAGGCCAGGGACACAAGCAGCTTCAGAGATGTAGGGTGGAGAAGAGTGGGCGGGCATAGGGCAGCAAGGAGAGGGGCAGGGAGGGAGACTGCTGGGCTTGCTGAGGCCAAGAGGGAGAAGGCTCCAGCCGCTTCCCACACTGACCCAGAAAGCACCGGTGGGGAGAGGAGATGCAGGGGAGAGGGCATGAAGATGGAACAAGGTTCTCAGGTAGCAAGAAGATTCCAAGGACAAGTGGTGAGGCTGGATGCTGATGAGGCGGTGGACTACTCTTCAACTGTTCTTTGGGTGCAGGCTGCTAGGAAGGAGACCTGGGGCAGCGTGCGCTACGCCAATCGCCCCCCGCTCTTTGGAGGCAGCTGTTGTGGTTGAATTGCATTCCCCAAAAGACAGGTTGAAGTCCTAACTCGTCTACCTGTGAACATGACCTTGTTTGGAAATAGGATCTTTGCAGATGTAATCAGTTAAGATGAAGTCACAGTGGAGTGGGGTGGGCCCTAAATCCACTATGACCGGTGTCCTTGTATGAAGACACAGACAGAGACAGACACACACACAGGGAAGATGGCCAGGTGAAGCCAGAGGCAGAGACTGGAGTGACGCACCCGAGAGCAAGCGAACGGACGCCAAGGATTGCTGGTGATCACCAGAAGCTGGAAGAGGCAAGGAAGGATGGAAGCGCCTTGGAAGGGAGCATAGCCCTGTCCACACCTGGATTCTGGACCTCTGGCCTCCAGAACTGTGGGAGAATCCATTCCTATCGTGTAAGACACCCCATTTGAGGCACTTTGCTGGAGCAGCCCCAGGACGCTCAGACAACTGCCCAGGCTCCCACTGCCTTTCCTCGCCACTCCAAATGCCTCCTTTCTTTCTCTGCCTCTCCACTGAGCTCTGGCGCAAAAGTGCTATTTCTTGTCCCACTGCCTCCCTCATTTAATAATAGTTCCATTGGGAGGCGAGTTGTGACTTAATTACTGAGATGGGCCCAAGCAACCGTAGATGAGAAAGTGCCGATAATCACTCTTCTGACTCCGACTGCTCACCCTGCGGTGGGAGAAGGTCCAGTCCTGGTCCTCGAGGAGCTGGCCTTCTGAGCCAAGGAGCACTGGGGACTAGCTGGGCGGGTGAAGCAGGGAAGGCCATATTTGGGACAGCGGTGACAGCTGGCAGGGAATCGAGGGCTCGGGCGCTTTGCTGGCCTTGGGTTCTGACCGGAAAGTCGGACCTTCCTGGGGTCCAGGTGGGGATGTAGGCCCGGTGCGTTTTTCTCCATTCATTCTTCAGGTAAGGGGGCTGTCGCCAGGAACTCCCCGCCCCGGGAAGGAGGCAAGGCCCTGGAGGGAAGCATGCGAGCCCTGGGGTCTCCGTTAGGACAGCGACTCCACAGTCACATGGCCTCGGGGTCCCTCGGGGAGCCACCCCTGGGAGGCGGCGGGAGAACTGAGGCCGTCTAGGCAGCGCTTCTGCAGTGGGCAGGCGTCCCGTCCTCGGCCATTCGAGGCCACCTTAGTCGGACCGCAGGGACTTGTGGCTGCGGTGCCGGGGCTGTCCTCGGCCCGTGACCTCGCGGCACACTTGGCAGCTGCCCTGCTCCGCGCGTTCTCAGGGGCAGGGAGAGCGGGTGCTGAGAGCCAGGCGAGCGGGTCCCGGGCACGGGGCACTCGGTAACCAAGGGCGGAGCTTTTGGCCTCTGAAGGCGGGGCTGGCGGGCCCCGGGGGTGGAGCTCCTGGCTCCCGGGGGCGGGGCTCTCGGCTCCCGAGAGCGGGCTGGGTGGTTCCCGGGGCGGGGCAGGTTTCCCAGGTGGGCGGTCTCTTTGGGGGCGGAGCTCTCGGTGCACGCGATGGTGCCGGCGGGGCAGGCAGGTTCGGTGGGTGGGGCGGGTTTTGGAGATGGGGCAGGCGGGTCCCGGGGGTGGGGCTCTTGGCTCCGGGAGGTGTGTGGGGGCGGGGAGGGTCCCGGGGGTGAAGCCCCTGGTTCCCGCAGGCGAGGCGGGCGGGTCCCCTGGGCGGGACTCTCGGCTCCCGAGGGCGGGGCGGGTTGGTTGCCTAGGCTGTACGGGTTTCGGAGGCAGGGTGGGCGGGCCCTGGGGGCGGGACTCAGGACTCCCGCGGGCGGGGCG